CGACGATCGTGCACGCGGCGCGCACACACCTAATGGAATGGATATGAGCAAGCACTCGAAGAAGAAGGGATATTATTCCTAATTATAAATACCCTCCCCTCCACAAAATTTGAAGACTGGCTGAATCATTGAGAGTGTACCCCTCCTGGTGTCTATCTCCAAAAACCACTGATTCGGTGATTTCAGTAGGAGGGAGAAAATACCCGAGATACAAAGGACTTCATATTCTTCATGGACATTGTGGCATTACGCCCCATATACTTCATAGAGATACTGTTATATAGGATATGATTATGGCATACCTATAATGTATTTTATACAAGGTAAGACATGTGAGATATCATTGGAAAGGTTATGATTGTGAATAGGATTATCCTATTTGTATGCATGTATCATTTTGGTATCTAAAGTTAGGAATACTGTCTATGCATCAATTACAAATGTGTTTACACCTGGGGAATGCCCACTAAGCAGAATGCAATCAGTTTAGATGTCTCACTGGGAAGAGCTATTAGGGAGAACAATAGGTCTTAGAAAATGCTGATCACCCACTGAGAAGCCTTCCAGGGGACGATACAAACAGACTGAGTTATGGCTGCAGGGACCTGTGACCAAGTCACCTGGTACTGAATTCCATAATAATACTAGTGTTTTTCCACTGACCGGGTTTGAGGATCAAACTGGTAGTCAAAGGATTCCTGACATATGCAAAAGCTATTTAAAGCAGGGGAGTGACATCATTGTGCTTCGTTCTTCTTTGATTCCCTGTCCAAGAAAGAGGACTACTGGAAACACCTGAGAACAAGACTGGACTAGGGGAGAAGGGCTGAGCCCAGGCTAGAGAGTGTCTGGCCTGTGAAAGGAATATCTGGAGTTTTAAGCTGCAAGCAAGTGCAGCTTACCTTCAAGAATCTCGGCATCTGCCTAAAACAACATTTTAGGTGAGAATTTGCTACTTATAACCAGTTTCTTTGGTTTATTAAGCTTAGATTGTGTGTTTGTTTTATTTGCTAGGTAATCTGCTTTGAACGGTTTGCTAGCCCTTATAATCACTTAAAATCTATCTTTTGTAGTTAATAAACTTGTTTTGTCTAAAACCAGTGTGTGGGGAAATCATAATTTGGGGCAAAAAGCTGTGTATATCCCTCTCCACACTGAGTAAGGGGGCGAATTTCATGAGCTTACACTGTACAGTTCTCTGTGCCGCGCAAGACGGTACAATTGTGTGGTTACCCTCTTGAGGGGGGTGTGCACTTGAGTACTGAGCAATTCCTTAGCTGTGCCTTCCCATACACAGTTGATCTCAGCATCTGTGTGTACAGCTGAGGCTGGGTGTGTCCCTACCTGTATGTGTGCTGGTCAAGTGCAGTCTGAAGCCTGAGGGAGGGCTTGGCTGGCTTGCCTTACCAATACAGTGTAAACGGAGCCCAGGCTGGAGGGTCAGGCAGACTCAGTGGTACCCCAGTTCCAGGCAGCACCCCAAAGTGGGGGGAACCTGTCACAGACATGTAATGTGTAATCTAAGAAGCAGCAGCAGATTTCTCAATCAGTACTTACAGGGAGGTTTAGCTTGACAGCGTCCACAGGATGATGGAAAGGCCACGCAAACTGGTGTTTCCATAGTGTCTTGAGCACCACTTTGAGTAGATACTGCAGTTGGTTGGTCTGTCGTTTGGGCTTGTTAGGGTTGGAGGTCTCTGGTGGAGGGGGGTTAGTGCCTACAATACTGCCTTGTTGGGGTTGGGTCTGTGCCTGTGTTGTAGACATTTGTGTAGTTTCTAGTCCATCCCCCATTACTGGTAAATTTCTCAGTCTTGTCCCAGGGCCGCTCTCCATAGACATGCTATTGATCCCATCGCATTCCTCACCAGGCACTCTGTAAGACAAATGCAACAGTATTAACTGCAGGTCAGTTAAAACTGACAGTTTTCATTAGTAACTACATATTGCTTAAGTACAAACCAGGAAATCACTGTATACTTCAAATTTACTGAGAATACTGGATATACTTCCAACAGCCTGCAACCTTCGCAGGATAGTTCAGTAAAAGCCTTCTGTTGTTCAGTAGCATGTATTAGCCAAATGATTGGACATATTCCTAGATCCCAAGGCTGAAAAGGATATCCCGGGTAAGTCAGTTGACTCTAGTTCCCCTCTTTTCGCACCTAGCCATTTTCTTCTGTCTCCTTACAGTATATATATATTTTATTTTTGTATTTGCCCATGTTAGAGTAAGTTTTTTCAACAAGGAGCCCAGAAAGGAATAGAATACCTCAATATGATTAGTCTTATTAATGCTGTGTAGAGAAGAATCGCCTCCTCCCTGGTATCACAAATGAGAACCAAATTAGCATGGCATTGTTAGCTGCGACATTGTTAACGTTTCATTGCCTTTGCCACTTAAAGCCTTCCATTTTCTACGAAGAGCAAGAACCTTAATTATCAGATTTAAGCCCTCACTATAAGAGTTCTTCTAATTTCTGAGACAAGGCTGTGTTGGGTCAGGGTTAGCTAACACGTTACTTAACCGCAACCAACCACAATGTTTACTGAAGTGTAGATGCTGATTAACACCTTTATATCTCAACAAGTTATACTGAAAATGTTATGGTTAGGTAGGAAGTAGCTAACAAGTCAGCTAACCCAAATATAACTCAAACTTTTCCTAATTTAGGCAAACCATATGAGACTCATAGCTAACAATTTTTATGAAGTGTTTCAATCATATTATTCAGCAGTGACTAATCACTGGAACCTGCTTCAGTGTGTCTTCTTTGCTAATTCTTATAGTTTAACATTAAGAAACACTGATAGTTCAAACTTGAGACGAGACTACAAAAATATTGATTAGAGCAGATATTGATATCAGACTACTTATATCTCATCAAAATATGAGTCTCTCCAAATGTAAGTTTCTCTCATTATTCACCAAAACTGCTTTCATGTAACACCAAAGGAAGCTGACAGAGAAAGCATTGGTCTTAAACAACTGTATTACATCCCAACCAGTTATGTGCTTAATCTGTTGGACTAGAAGTACTGACCTGTTCCTAGAGCGCCTCTCCTACCTATCTAGAACCTTGGAAAGCAAAACCAGCCTATACCGCCACATCTCTCAGATGCACAAAACAGTGTTGGCATCTCTTCCCTGAACCACTCATGCTAGATCAAAATCCAGCTATAGCAAGATGTTACAACAAAGTGTCACCTGACCATGCTATTGGGTCTCTTCTACATGCAGTCAAGCACCTCACCCAACACCAGGCCACAGACAGGGGTGAAAGTAGGCCAGTACGGCATACCGGTAAGAAGCCCGTACACAGTCCAAGTTAAAGCGCAGCGGCAGCAAAGCATTAAATTGCTCTTGAGAGTCCTTAAAGTGCTACTGCGGTGGCGACCGGAGCCCCAGGCCCTTTTAAATCGCCGCCGGAGCCCCAGGTGGTGCGTGCAGGCAAGGCAGTGCAGATAGGCTGGCTGGGGGAGACGAACCTCCAGTCCCACCCCTTCCACTCGAGGCCTGGAGTAAGTGTTTCATATTACTTTCATCCCTCACCATGGATGACAGTAAGGACAGGGTGGGTGAGGTAGTATCTTTTATTGGACCGATTTCCGTTGGTGAAAGAGACAAGCTTTTGTCTCACAGAGCTCTTCTTCAGTTCTGGGAAAGGAACTCAATGTCACAACTAAATGCAAGGTAGAACAGACAAGCATAAAAGAGTTAACACACATTGCAAGAGACCATTGAAGGTGAAATGGACAGTTAAAAACTTTTGCAGTCATAGGATAAAGGCAGGTGAGTGGGTTACAAATTGTTGTAATGAGCCATAAATCCAGTGTCTTTATTAAATCCATGATTTTTAGGGTCTAATAAAGTGATGAATTTAACTATCAAAAGACAAGCTTGGGAGCTATTATGCAGGTTTCCTTTAAGAAAAAGGACTAAGATACCAGATATGGAGTGACCATTTTATGAAAAGTGTTCACCCACAGGCATTTTTGTTTCATCATTTTTCTGTGCGAGTTCTTTTGAGAATGTAGTGATGATTAGTTCGTTTCACCCACATAGATACTGGGGCATTTAGTGCACTGGATGAGGTACACCACATGATAAGGATGTGTAGAACCCATGGATCTTGAAAGGTGTGTTGTGAGGGGTACTGATCATTGTAGTAGCGGAGGTATGTCTACAGGTTTTGCATCTGTTATGACAGGGTCTGGTGCCACTGAGTTGGTGCGTCCTGTTCTGAGGGTAGCTTGCTTTTGATTTGCTTGAAGAAGTTGGGGGGGGTTGTATGAAAGCCAGAAGAGGGGATTTAGGAAAGATTTATTTCAAGATGTGGTCCACATCAAGTATGTTGTTTAATGATACCCCCTACAGACTGCAGTGTGGGGTGGTAGTGACAAGTAGGGGAGTGCAGTGTCGTCGTCCCCCAACCCCGTACTGAAGCAAGTCCTTTTAGGGTAATTGGGCAGCCCATTCCATGATGTGATCTACTTCTCTGGTGGAGTGTACTTGTTTGGTGAACATGGTTTTAAGTGTGTTACGGTGTGTATCCCAGACTTTCTCCTAGAAACATTCTATGGTAGTTGAGTGCCTGGCTGTAGATAACATTTTTGGGGTGGTTACTGGATCCGTGAAGGTAAGTGTAGTGATCTGTGAGTTTCTTGTATATAGTTATCTTCAGCTGATCGTGGAGTCTAGAAAGTTGATACTGGTGTGAGAGTTTTAGCTCTGGTCTACGCTACAGAGTTAGGTCGACATAAGCTGCCTTTCGTCATCCTAATAATGTCAATATCTACACTGCAAGATCGCTCCCGCTAACTTATCTCACCTGCTACGTCAACTTAGCTCCACCTCCGTGAAAGGTGTAGTGCTTAAGTCAATGTAGTTAGGTCGACGTAACGGCAGTATAGACAATGCATTCCTTACGTCAACTTAACTGGCCTCCAGGAGGTGTCTCACAATGCTCCATTGTGACCACTCTGGTCACAGTCTTTAACTCCTCTGCCCAGTGGTCAGGTATGCAGGAAAAAGCCCCTCCCCTATTAAAGGGGCACTAATTTTGAATTTCCATTTCCTGTTTGGTTGGTGTGGAGAGCTTGCCTGCCCAGCTAAGCTAAGCATGCCAGTTCCACACTCCAAATGCGCTCCTGCCTGGATTACACAGGAGGTGGTGGATCTCCTGGGTTTGTGGGGAGAAGGGGCTGTCCAGACACATTTCAGCTCCAGCCATAGAAATGTGAACATCTATGAGCAGATCTCTTGGGGCATAGTGCAGAATGGCTACCAGAGGACCTGCAGTAGTGCCATGTGAAAGCCAAGGAGCTGCGGCAGGCATACTAGAAGACAAAGAAGGCAAGCAGTTGCTCTGGTGCAGCGCCACAAACATGCCACTTTTACAAGGAGCTGCATGCTATATTTGGCAGCGACCACACAACCACCCCCAACAGCTGTGCGAATACCTTGGATAAGTCAGGAGTCATGGGCCAACATAGGCAACACTGAGATGACTGTGTTGGACAAGGAAGAGAGACAGGCAAATAAGGGACCCATTGTCCCAGAGAGCCAGGAGCTATTTGTAACCCCAGAGCAGTTCAGCCAGTCACAGCAGTCCAGCATGGGTGAGCATGATGCAGGGAAGGAACCTCTCATAAGTATGCAGTTCACAATATTGTGGCGGCACATTTTATTTGCTATTTTTTCTTGAAATAACCAGTGCAGGTACAGTGGCTATCTGCTTTTAATTGCCTGGCACAGATAGCCAGAGGGCGCCCTGCAAAAACGATTATTTATGCACACCGAGATGTCCTGTGAATCCTCCACAGAAATAAGAACATTACCTACCTTTCGTAACTGTTGTTCTTCGAGATGTGTTGCTCATGTCCATTCCGGGAGCGCGCACTCCGTGTGCACAGTTGCCAGAGATTTTTTCCCCCTAGTGGTATCTGTAGGGCCAGCTCTGGCAACTCCTGGAGGCCAGCACTTATGCACGGATATAAGGGGCGCCACCGGCCCCTGCACCGTTTTAGTTCATTTTTGCTGTGAACTCCCATGGCGGGAGAGGTGGGCAGGTCATGGAATGGACACGAGCAACAGCTCGCAGAACAATAGTTACGAAAGGTAAGTAACCGTCCTTTCTTCGAGTGCTTGCGCATGTCGATTCCATTCTGGGTGACACACAAGCAGAAGTCCTGGAAGTGGGTTAGGAGTTTAAGGTCGTGTCCACTGCAGCACAGCCCTCCTGAAATTAGCATCATCTTTTGCCTGTTGGGTGATCGCATAGTGGGATTCGAATGTGTGGACCGAGGACCATGTCACTGCCTTGCAGATGTCTTGTATTGGTATATGTGCCAGAAACGCAGCTGAAGATGCTTGAGCCCTTGTTGAGTGGGCCTTCATGATGCCTGTGCCAGACACCACCGCCTGCTCATAGCAGACCCGGATATGGGCCATGATCCGTGGCTAGACTGTTTGGACCGTTACTGGGAGGCCTTTCACAAAAAGCCATGTGGATTTGCAGAAAGGTCTTCTCCTGTCTATATAAAAGGCCAAGGCACTTCTAATATCCAGAGAATGCAGATGCCACTCTTCTTCTGTATTATGCGATTTAGGGCAGACTACTTCTAGGAAGATGTTCTGGTTGTAAAAAAGACACCACCTTGGGGAAAGAGGCTGAGTGGGGGCACAATCAGACCTTGTCCTTAAAGAATACACTATAGGGAAGCTCCGATGTTAGCACCTGAAGCACCTAGACTCTTTCTAGCAAAGTAACTACTACCAGGAAGGTGACTTTCCAAGAGAGTAGCAGAGAAGAGCATTTTGCCAATGGCTCGAATAGAGGCCTAGTGAGCTTGGACAAGACCAGATTTAAATCC